TTAGTGCAAAGATCACTAGTGTAGCAAAACTGTGATCCATGATTTGAGGGTGCTTTCTCTGCTGCATGACCGGACACAAGAGGAGTCATGTTGCAGTGCTTAAGAGTTCCCATTCGTGGGGGAAAAAAAAACCTTGGTACTCCATGAAAAATGGGATTCTAAATAAAGGATTGTCTGGCAGCAGAAAATACAGCTGAATTTTTAGTTTTACACCTGTGCCAAGCTCCATTTACTTCAGTGGAGTTACCTTGAACTGGCACCAACTTCATGGAAATCAGAACCTGGACCAGCTGACCAGATGCTAAAAAGAGCTTTCCTCCTTTCTAAGGAAGGTGAGTCATTAGCGCCTTTGAAAAGCTGACTACATCTGTCTGACAATCAAACAGAAACAACAAATCTGCTGATCACTTCTTTTAAAAAACCACAACAAAACAAAAACCCTCTGTGCTACTAATCATGTGTATAGGAGAATAGGTGGACATTTCAGTACTGTTGCAAGCCAATCTGTTAGCACGCGACTGAACCACATCACTTTCTCTAGCAGAAAGAAGCGGGGAAGGAGCAGAAATGCAGACTGCACAGCAGTGAACACATGCCCCAAGCGGAAATGTTTCTGCTATTATTTTACCACTTCTTTCTTCCCTGAATAAAGACAGACGCAGGATAGTAAGCAGCAAGCCATACAAAACTTACAACGCGTACTTTATGGGAGAAACAGATAGTAGGAACTGACATAGTACTGCTGGCAGGTACACGCACAGCTTTTCTGAATTTTGATGTTGCGTATTGCTAAGTATAACATAATTTATAGCGCATACCCTACAGCTCCCCCCAAGGTTGAGTCTCCCCTCATTTCGTCTCCTTTTTATTGGCTTCAGTGCGCTGTTGCCCATGGCAACACCCACCGGCAGGGATGGAGATTCGGCACCACCGCAACCTGACATACAACTGAAGTGATAACAATGTCAACCATCAATCAAGTGACTGTTTGTAATTGCCTCCATCTATTTCTCCTGTCTTTTGGTATCTTTGCTATTGTGGGTCAAAATTCAGAAACTGCTGACTAATGTTATGGTTCTGTTCCTCCATCACAAGGAAGAAAATGAGAGAGAACAGCTAGATCTTTATCAAATTGTTCTCAGGCAAAACGAAACAACCCTACGGAAACCAGGGGGGCGCAGTAGTGCATCTCAGAACAGCATTTGGTCTCTGAAAGTGGTATAGCTCAATCTTAAAAAATAATTTAAAATCTTATAATATTTTTTTTTAACACTCAGCTTAGGAACCCACCAAAGATTTGCATTTTTGAGAGAAAAAGAAGATTCTTTGTGGAAGCATACAGTACGGTAAAGAAACATTGCAAGTTTCTTGTGTTTTAAGATGGTGGAAAACACTTCTTAGCTAGTGCTTACAAGCTTGCTAGACAGAAATTGTACCTGCTTTTCATTGTTTCTGATAGGGAAACATTTTCCCAGTACTTCAGTCAGTTTTGCCAAAGTCTTCCGAGACGTGCACAGGAGAGATCACTGCGCAGGTTATTAAATCGGAATTCTCCATCTTTCCCTTGTTTCCCTGCCCACTGCACTAGCAGAGCTCAAAACCCATTGAAATCAGCTTAGTTCTGTGATTGCGTATAAAATGCAGGTCCACAAGAGGCGAGGACAAATTAGAGGGCATGTGGAGAAGAGGGCGGAGACCCCACCGTTACCCAGGACAGTGGTAGTAAAGCACTGCTTGGCCTTTCCATGGAGATGCCCTGATGCGCACCGGTCTGTCTCAGCAGTAGGAGAGTCCTCGCTATTTGCCCTGGCTGTTAGTGGAAATGTTGCCTTGAACGATGGCTCTAGCATTTACAATACCAGTGCTAAAATGTGGTGAGCACATGGACCACCCATAGGGTCAGAAGGGCTTCGTTCTCCCCCAAAAGTGCTTCGAGCTGGTTCAACTGCCATGCCTTTTTTCTGGGTGTCCTCCCAAATAGTGCTAACCACAGCCTGAATTCAGTCAGGTTTCCTGTCTCATGGGTTACAGGCCATGAGGTCTCACAGGGGCCAGCCAGCAGCCCTCACTTCATCAGCAGAAAAAGCTGAGGAGAAAACCTGGGTCTTCATCCCCATCCTCAAAGACAGTTCAGGCCACGCAGTAATTCCAGTCAGGATTCTCACCTGTGAAACCCCTTACCAAAATCAACCTTTCCTCACCATAAAAAAAAAAAACAACAACAAAACAGAACTGCTGTAGTATTGTGTAGGGTAATCAGGAAGGAGCCTGGCATTCAACTCCTACTTGATTTGGAGCAGGCTTTTGAGCTGCGGGTGCACCTTCCCCACCAGCCTGTCAGGAGTCACAAGGGTGGGCTCGTCTCCCACCCTCCTGCCAAAGCCCTTTACATGTGCCCAGCAGGGGGAAGGGACGCCTGTGGGGTACAGCCCCAATTTCTGCTTCACGCCTAGGAGATGCACAGACCAGACCGGCTTCGGTGGAAGAGCTCAGGAGGGGGTCGTACGTGCATCCTCCTGGATTAAAGTGCTCCCCTGCAACACAACACTGTGACCCCACCAGAAAACCAAATGCTGTTCAAGGCGAGGAGCACCTGGGGTAGAGGCTCTCCTGCGGCTCAGACAGAAGAAGGGTTTCCAGCCTCCTGAGAATGAGACATCCAAGAGGTGTCTTTGGGCATAGTTCGAGTAGGCAAATCAGACAATTTCCCCTAAAAGCGCCCCATCGGTTTGCGTTTCTCCCAGCCTGGGACCCACAGGCAAAACAGAACAGCTTCAACAGAACATGACTGGGGGCACAGTTTTGCTCCTGCTCCAAAGCAGAATCGCACTTACAGGGGTAGGCAGCAGTAGCTCACAGAAGTTTAAACCGGATGCCGCCTGTGGCAATGAGACACTGAACTCCCCCTGCAGCTCTGCCACAGCCAGCCCCTACTATCTGCAGGGCCAGGGATCTTGCTGCGGCGGTCATGAGTATGTTTTGTGCCCTGCAAAACAGAGACGTAGAATAGACGAGTATGGTTCATTTTAGCTCAGGTATTCCTTCAGATGGCGTCCTTGGTCCCAGCTGCATTTTTCTGGACTAGTGACCTTGCTAATTGCTCCTTCTTTGAGTGCACTGCAATCTCATAATGTGCCTGTAGTTATCAACAAAGCCAATACTAGTACTCACAAACTATTGTTGAAAACTGCAACCAGCAGTGCCTAATGTCATTTGTAATATTTAGCTGAATTTATCCTAGTGGAAAAATAGGAGTGTTTCAGTCTACAGGCCAAAAATTTCTTTTCCCTTCATAAAATTAAAACGGTTTTAGTTACTGATAGATCGCTTATGCATTGAGTGAAATTTTAGAACAGGTTTATTTCTAGGTTATGTAAAACATATTAACAGACGCTTCCAATGCTTAGAGTGTTCTGGGCAAGAAAACGTAGAGCAAGAAGTTTTTTTACTGGCTTTGTCAAAGAAATGGAAGATTTTTAAGAGTAAAATCATGTGAATGGTTTCTAACATAACAATGAAGTGGGAAGTCTAAATCAGCTGAAATGAGAGAGAAAATCCAGAGATTTCCATCACTTGAATGTGCCAGTATTGGAATACATACTGCATATTGCTTGTTACCTTTTCTGTCTTGGATTACTTTGTATTTAATTACCAATTTATAAGCATGTTGGCCACTGCATCTTACAGTTGTGTGGGGAATACCATTATAAACTTTGAACCTTTGCCTATGGGAAACAACTGACACATGCACAGAAATACTGTGTGTATTTTCTAGTGCAGGTGAGTCCTACGTACGTTCAAAATGTGTAACTTAAGACTTCTGCATCCTTTTCCTTTTTGCATTTTAAGACCATTATTGCCCTCCTTGTTTTGCTTTAGTAGATCAAACAATGCTGATTCAGCTTTTTAAAGCATGTTTTTGAAATTAACAACTTGATTTTATTGGTCTCTCTAAAAAAATAATAAATCATTTTAATGGTTTGCTGTGATTTTTTTTTTATTTTTCCTTGAAAATACCTTGTCGGGATGAATCAGAGCTGTATCTATTGATTACTGAATCATGCAAGCAGAAAAGCATAAAAACAGGTGCAACTGAGCAGCCCAGATATGATTTTTGAAACATGACCTTTCTTCCGTTCCTGGGAGCAAACCTAACTTCACTGAAAAGACCAGAAACCAAATCTGGCTGGTGCCTTTAACAAAGCTATTCACGTGTACAGAAATGACACAGATTATACAGTCTGTGATACTGCATGTATCATTGTTCAGTAGAAATACTGTGGGGAGAAAAAAAAATATCCTGCTGATCTCCAAAGAACAATTACATTATTGAAATAGTTACAGACAAGTGGGATATAATTTCTTCTACTTTTTTAAAGCTTCAGGAAAGCTGGCAGATTGTGCTAAGGTACAAACATCCTCCCTTCCATCAGCCACGGCAAGCTTTGGATCTCGACAGGCTGTGAAGGGGATGTTTCATGTTCAAAAAGCCCAAGACACCAGTAAAATACTGGCCTGTGTTCCAAGACTGTGTGTTTAACTTAGGGCCTGCTTTTACACTACCACTTACTGCTTAAGAGAATTAAAGACTATTATGAAAGTTTTAGAAATAAAGGAGTTGAAAAATCAGCAAACTAATTTTGATTTTCCTCTTTATTCTTTCCAGCTGCCTGAGTTTTTGAAACTGGGCAAACATTCAGGTCTAGGCAGTGTTTTTAGGAGGAGATACCTGTTTGAGCCAGTTTGGAATCACAGAATAGCTTAGGTTGGAAGGGACCTTAAAGATCATCTGGTTCCAGCCCCCCTGCCATGGGCAGGGACACCTTCCGCTAGAGCAGATTGCTCAAAGCCCCGTGCAGCCTGGCCTTGAACACCGCCAGGGGTGGGGCATCCACAAGTCCTCTGGGCAACCTGTTCCAGTGCCTCACCATCCTCATGGTGAAGAATTTCTTCCTTGTATCTCATCTAGATCTGCCCTCTTTCAGTTTAAAAATCGTTACCCCTTGTTCTATCACTACACTCCCTAATAAAGAGCCCTCCCCATCTTTCCTGTAGGCCCCCTTCAGGTCCTGGAAAGCTGTGATATGGTCTCCCCGGAGCCTTCTCTTCTCCAGGCTGAACAACCCCAGCTCTCTCAGCCTGTCTTGACAGGAGACGTGCTCCAGCCTTCTAATCATCTTCGTGGCCCTCTGGACTCGCTCCTACAGGTCCGTGTCCTTCTTATGTCGGGGGCCCCAGAGCTGGATGCAGTGCTCCAGGTGGGGTCTCAGAGAGCGGAGCAGAGGGGCAGGACCACCTCCCCCGACCTGCTGGTCACGCTTCTTTGAATACAGCCCTAGTGAATCGTCACTGAACAGCCCGTTTCACTGCTCGGGAGATAAAGGCACGAAAGGGAACAGAAGATGGCAGGCAAGCACAGAGGTCCCTTTCGGGCACCAGCTGCCATTTGCACCACCGGCGGACAGAGAAAGCAGGAC